CATAATAAAAGCCACTTATGAAAAACTCACAGCTGAAAATTATATTCACTGGTGAAAGACTAAAAGCTTTTTGATCAGTAACAAGGATGCCCCCTTTCTCCACTTTGACATAGTATTGGAAGTTCTACCCAGAGTAACTGGGAGAAAGGAAGGAAGGACAGAAGGAAGGGAGGGAGGGAGGGAGGGAAGGAGGAAGGAAAAAAGAAAAGAAGAAAGAAAGAGAATAATATGAGAAGAAAATTGTGGTTAAAATTCCAATTACAAGCTGGCTGTGATGGTGGATGCTTGTAATCCAGCACTGGGGAACCTGAGACAGGAGGACTGTCATGAGTTCAAGGCTAGGCTGGGCTACATAGTGAGTCCAAGGTCAGCCTGAACCCTGTCTCAAAAAAAAAAATTCCATTTACAGTAGCATCAAAACTAATAAAATACTTAGAAATTAATTTAGAAATTAAGCTGGTATTCTTTTTTTTTTTTTTTTTTTTGGTACTGGGGATTGAACTTGGGTCCTCACGCTTGCGAGGCAGGCGGCAGAACCACTGAGCTAAATCCCCAGCCCTGGTACTCTATTTTTTAATATATGCACTTTATTTTCAGGGCTGAGAGCCTTTTGAGCTTTAAAAAGAGGAAAGTATGAGAAAAGTCTCCTGGCAGAGGAAACCCCAGGTTAAGATGAAAGACAAGCCAGCGAGCCATCAACCCAGGAGCCTACAGAGGGAGAGGAAACCTTGTAGGAAGAGCTGGTGGCCACAGCCCAGGAGCAACGCACTTTCAAATTCCCCTGCTCATTCCCAGTAGCTGCCTGTCATCTCTCTTCCTCCTTCCCCATCTTTAAGAGTCACAACTTTAGCGCCATGAAAACAATTTCACATCCTTTTTTAACAAATACGACTGTACAACTGCTGTGTCATCCCATATCTTTAGAGGAAGTCTGGACTCTCTTTGATCATTATATACTATACTACAGTGCAGTGGGATGAAGCCATAAATTCTCTCTGAATTGTGCATTTCCCCCAGGGCCTCTCTAATAGTAGGTAGTCAACAAATATTTGTGTACTGAATAGCTCTCATGTTACTGCATTTTGGAATCCCTGAAATGCATTTTGTCATTTAATGATGTCGGTGCCCTAGGAAAGAGGAGACCTCTTTTACTTATTTCACAGGTAATTTAACTTTGAACAGTGCGAGGTCACCGGATGTGACCGTCCATCCTGAGCCTTTTGTCTCTGGGCTGGTATTCCTCTCACCATAGCCAGGCACCTGAAACTGAAGAAATGAATGGATTCCGAGGGGATCTTTCAACTCGGATTTATATTCTTCATAGGCTGGCCAAGCAACCTTTCCCTGTAGCATTAAAGTACGAATACCCTGAGAGATTTGAGGCATTTCTAATGAATTGGTCTTCAAATCTTCTAAGCATACACAGTGCCAGAAGCATTATTTTGATGAATAGTCCCTAAACTTTCCAAAAATGAAGCTGTAATGGCAAATATCAAATTCTTTAAATAAAATCAAACTCAAAAGTTCAATTTAAATCTTGGCAAAGTTCCAGGCACATTAAAAGAAAAGTAAATTAGTTTTAGGAAGCAGAACATTCATATTTTACCTTTATTTTTATACAGCTATTAGAATCTCTATGCTTTTATTTCCCTTCCAAAGATAAAAATGGTCCCTGAAATAGCAACCTTCTGTCTGGTCCTCAAATGCCATAATTAAAATAAATAGAGGAAAAAGTAAGTTATAATTTTTAATACTTTTTCAGCAAAAAAGAAATGCATCATCCTGGGCAAATTGACCAATTTAGACCTGTAGCTTTGAAAAAAAAATTTTAACTTTTATAAATTGAGTTATGCACAATTCCATTCCTAAGAGAAATTTAAAGAATAATGATGCTTACAATTATTAAGCACTTACTATGTAAAAAATACTGTTTTAGGCTTTTTAGTATAACACCAGTCATAAGGCGACTGTTGGAATGTTCGTTATACAAATGAGAACATGATCTCTGACTTGTTAAGAATCTTGGTATATTCACATTCGTATTGCATGATGGATTGACTTCAAAATCTCTATCCTCCATATTTTACACAACTATGACAAAACTCCATACATTATTTTGCATAAAGATGAATAAAATATTTTGTCATGTCTAAAAAAAAAGAGGAAAGTATAACACATGCTACAACACTGAGGAACCCCGAGGATTCAAACTAGCCACAAAAAGACAAATACTTATAATTCTACTTACACGAGGCACTTAAGAGTACTCAAATTCAAACAGGCAGAAAATAGAATGATGATTTCCATGGACTGGGGCACAGGTAGGGATAACGTGGAGTTGTTGTTTAATAGTTTATGTTTTGCAAAATGAAGAGTTCTGGAGATGAAGGATAATAATGGTTGCAACAATGTGAATATACTTAATACCACTGTAACAATTAAAAATGGTTGGTATTGTAAATTTTATGTATATTTCACCAGGAATTTAAAAACAGTTCAATAAACCATAAAAAATGTGGTGCATTCATTTAATAGGTTCCTGCTCAGAGGTAAAAGGGATAAATTATATATACACACAGCATGGAGATTCTCAAGATAATTATGTTTTCACATATAAATGCTTTCTCCTATTGAAACTTAAAATAATTTAGAAAATTAACCTAACTGTAGAATAACAATAAAATTATGCTGTATGAAAGAAACCAGACAAAAAAGTATGAATACTTTGATTACAATTGTATAAAATTCTAAAAAATGCAAATGAATCCATAGTGAAAACAGTTAAATCAATAGTTTCCCTGGGAAGCAGTTATAGCTTCCTAAAGGTAGGGAAGGATTATAAAGAGACATACAGTACCTTTAAAGATGGTGGATGTATTCATTATCATGATTATAGTGTTGATTCCCTAAGTGTACATATATTTCAAAACTTATTTAATTTTGTGAATAAATATGTATAATTATTTCATAACAATTATATCTTAACTAAACATTAAAAGAAACTGTTACCCATAAAAGTATACTTCTCACTTATTTTAGAAAACCAAAAAAGCTGACAATCCTTTATCAATCCCAGCATCTCTCCCCTTGTGGCTCAGCAGCAAAGAAGAGCTGGCTATGTCACAATGCTCCATCCCTGGAAACAGAATCTACTTTCTGTCCTTAGAAAGGCCAGTAATGGCCTTGAGACCTATAGTGCATACAGTCTGTAGTAATCCATAAAACCTTTAGATTATTTACTCCGCTAATAACCTTAGTTGTACAGAAGTGGTCAAAGAGTCCTGAAAATTTTGACAAATCCCTATCATGGTTATTTTTCTCACTGCTGAGACAAAATATGTAACACCCAAAATTAAAGGAGGAAAGGTTTATTTCAGCTTACAGTTGGTAGAGGTTTCAGTCCATAGTTGGCTGGCTCCAAGGAAGGGCAGAGGGGCATCACAGAGGAGAAACAGTCCATGGCAAACAGGCAGAAGACAGCAAAGCGGCAAACAGCAACAGCAGCAGCAGCAGCAAGCCTGCCTTTATATTTCATCCAGGCTGTGAACCTATTGATTGGTGCCACTCAAACCCACGGTGGGGCACTCTTAATCCCAGCATCACACTCTTAATCCACATTCACACACTCTAACCCAGCTACTTTTGATACTCTCCACTGATGACTGCATGAAGCTTTGGGAGGAACATCTAGATACAAGCCATAACATTCCACCCCTAGCTGCCAAAAAATTCATGTGCATCTCTTTATGCAAAAGGCATTTAGTCCATCTCTAAGAGTTCTCAAAGTCCTAACATTTTCAACATTACTGAAAAGTTCAAGGTCAAGGTCTCCTCTGAGATTTAAGGCAAACTCTTAGCTGTGAGCCCCTATTTAAATGAAAAGTCAAACACTTCTCACATACAATGGAGCAAGACAAACATTCCCATTCTAAAAGGTACAAATGGGGTTGGGGATAGAAGGAAATGAGACCAAAGCAAGTCCAGAATCCAGCAGGGCAAACATTAGGTCCCATAGTTCCATGTCCAGCATCCAGGGCAATCTGTGGCAAGATGTGAACTCCAAAATGCTACCCATGGCTCCACCCCAGGGTCACCACCAGTGGTTGCAGCTCTCATGGCTTCTCCCTTGGGGTGACTTTGTTCACTCCTTGAGCTTTCCTCAGACAATCCATGTTCCTGGCTTCAACCTTCTGGGGTCTCCACTGCACCCATGTTCCTGGCTTCTCCAAACTACTGGCGTCTCTAGTGTACCTTTGGCTTCACACTCACAGCTTCACATGCTCCCCTCTCAGGGGCACACTGCCTTGCCTTCCAGGCCTTCTTCTGAAATCTGGGTGGAAGCCTTCCTGGCCTCACAATTCTTGCATACTACATCCACCTAAAACCAGCACCATGTGGATGACACCAAAGTCTGCCACCAGTTGGAGCAGTAGCCAGGCTTCCTTCTCTCTTGGCTGTAGAGGTCTAGTGCCTGGATTGCTGAGCACAAGGAACCACATTCTGAGGAAAAATTTCCCTAGGCCTCTGCCATTCTGGCACATGGTGCTCTGAGGCTTTCCCCTCAAAGCAAGTATTCCACCTTCAAATTTTTGATCTCCAAAGGCTAGAGTTCTACAGCTTTTTGTGATGTTCTCAGGTCATCTTTTCTATTGTCCTGTTCCTTCTCAGCAACCACTTCTTCTTTTCTCCATCTTTGGAGTCCATAACTTCCAAAAAGGAAGGAGCTTCCTTCCCAGGCAAACTCAAAATATTTTAAATCATTCTGCTGGACTCTTTGCTCTTGATTCTCAGCATATATCTGACTAAAAGCCACTAAAAGTACCCATGTCACTTCCTCAACATTAGACTGTCTTGAAATTTCTTTTGCAAGATTAATTAGTCCTGTGCCAGGCATGGTGGTGTACACCTGCAGTGCCAGCACTTGGGAGGCGAAGGCAGGAGGACTGCTACAAGCTCAAAGCCACCCTGGGCTACATAGTGTGTTCAAGGCCACCCTTAACTATAGAGCAAGGCCTTGTCTCAAAAAAAAAAAAGTTTAATTAGTCCGTTGCCTTTAATCTCAGTCTCTGGACATGAGCAAAATGCAGACAAATATTCTGCCAAAGGGTAACACACATGGTCTGGAGTCCAACAGCCAATACAATCTTTGTTCTTAACTGAAACCTCTTGAGCGTGGTCTTTACTGGCTACCTTTCTGTCAGCATTCTGGTCTTCTGAACTCTGACCAGAATCTCATATCAAGTACAGATTAAAGCATTCCAGGGCTGCTTCTTCAATTGACATCTCCAGACCTTTCCAAACTCTTTCCGCAAACCAGTTCCAAAAGCTCTTGAATCACATGGTCAGGTGGTATCACAACAACGACCTCACTTCTGGTAACAAAATCTGTCTTTTCTTGTCCAACATCCATAGTTAAAGGAGGAAAAGTTTATTTCAGCTCACAGTTCTTTTTTTTGGTACCAGGGATCGAACTTGGGTCCTTGCCCTTGCAAGGCAGGCAGCGGAACCACAGAGCTAAATCCCCGGCCCTTAGCTCACAGCTTTTAGAGGTTTCAGTCCATAGTTGGCTGGCTCCAAGGCAGGGTAGCATGGCAGAGGGCATCACAGAGGAGAAATAGTCCCTGGCAAGCAGGCTGGAGACAGCAAAGCAGTAAGCAGCAGCAGCAGCAGCAAGCCTGCCTTTATACTTCATCCAGGCTATAAATCTATTGGTCACTGCCACCCACAAGCAGGGTGGGACACCCTTAATCCCAGCATCACACCCTTAATCCACATTCACACACCCTAATCCAGCCACCTTCAAAACTTTCTATTTATGACTGTATGAGGCTTTGGGAGGACATCTAGATAGAAGCCATAATGCCCTCAATTCTACACAGAGACATTCAAAGGAACATTAAAGGATACATTTTTAGAATAGTTCCATTCTCACAGGTAAGCAATAGTCTCACCCACTCTCTATAGTCACACTGTGTTTCTATACAAACTATAGATCCACTTGGACTTAGCAAGTCTTAAAGATGGACACATATGTATAACAGACAGTGAACTTCACAGCATATGACTCCTTGGCAGGTAACAGTTGAACAGCTGCTTAATAGTGCTAGGGCAGTTGTGGCAAACCTATGGTATGTGTGCCATAGTGGGTACACAGAGCCTTCAGCACCCAAGCCAAGTCACTCCAGCATTTCCCAAGCAGCTGAGCATTCAGGTTTAACTGCAATGTTGGCACTTTACAATAAATAAATGGGTTTTGGGTTGCAGGTTGGACACTTGGTCTCTAAAAGACTTGCCATCACTATGCTAGGAGATAAGGGACCCAATTGATACTGCTCTCAGATGCTCTAGAGATGGTCACAACTTCTACCTCCTTAGGATAAGAGAAAAATTCATGCCATTCAGGACAGGAAAATTCATAGCATTCAAGACTGCAATACAGGCCCACAAAGCAATATAGTCTTTCCTAGAAAGCCTTGGCGAACAGTTAACATAAGGCCAAATCTGGGCTGACAGTTGTTCTCTGCCATCCTACTGTCACTTCTGAGGCAGTCAATTTGGAAGCACACAATTTGGAGCTAACTGTTCATTAACAGACCTTAACTCTGTTCTCTGTTCAAACTACTCCTCACAGTAAGATAAAATATGCTTTAATCAGTAAGGCTCCCAGCATAATATGAACTAGACCAATGTATTTTAGGTACTTGGGTCAGGTCGTATAGAAGATGAACAAATCCATCACATTTAACCACTGAATATCCTGAAAAAGGAAACCATCTCAGTAAGCTGCCAGCAGAACTCCATTTAGGTCATCGTGGCCAAGAATGGGTCATACCTACAACTAAAACAGCCATGAGAAAGAAGTGACATCTTCTGATGGCCTCAGAAACTCAGGTTCCATTCAGGGACTAGAAAGAGAGCAAAGGGCTGCTTTCCCTGAGATGGTGAAATGGCTGAAACATGCTATGGAGGCCAGCCAGTGGGCCAAGCTGAGACGGCTTCTGTTGCAAACTCTAGCAGTGACAAAATGGACAAATATGACTTCAGTCCTGAAAGCATCCACCATACATAGCTTTCATAGGGAATTTCCCCCGTGTGATCACATGGATGAATGAAGTTCAGAGTCTGGCTAACACTCCCTTATAAGGCCCACTGTCACAGTCTCTCACTGTCTCTGCTGTATACAGCTGTGTTCAACAAGGCAGATGCACATTCTCTACATTCCTTTCTCTGGTGTGAATTTTTTGATGCTGAATGAGAGTGCGCTTTTGGCTGAAGGCTTTGCCACATTCAATGCACTTATAAGGCCTGTCTGGTTTATGAACTATCTGGTGCTCACTTAGATTCGACCTTTGTCTGAAGGTTTTCCCACATTCGCTGCACTCATAAGGCCGTTCACCAGTGTGAAGCCTGCGATGGTTACTGAGGGTGGAGTTTTGGGTGAAGGCTTTCCCACACTCACTGCACTTATAAGGCCTGTCCGGTTTATGAACTATCTGGTGCTGCCTCAGATTTGAGCTTTGTTTGAAGGATTTCCCACATTCACTGCACTCATATGGTCGTTCATCAGTATGAAACCTTTGATGGGCTTTGAGGCTAGAGCTTTGGTTAAAGTATTTTCCACATTCACTGCACTGATAAGGCCGTTCACCTGTGTGAAGTCTCTGATGGATCTTGAGATGGGAGATTTGGCTGAACATCTTCCCACATTCAGTGCACTTATAAGGCCTTTCACCAGTGTGAACTCTCTGATGGTTTATGAGGTTGGAGCTTCGGCTGAAGACTTTCCCACATTTATCACACTCAAAAGGCTGTTCTCCAGTGTGAACTCTCTGGTGTTGGGTGAGATTGGAGATTTGCCTAAATGATTTCCCACATTCCTTGCACCTATAAGGTCGTTCTCCTGTGTGAACTCTCCCATGCTTAATTAGGCTGGAGTTGCAGATGAAGAATTTCCCACATTCTCTGCACTCATGAGTACGTCTACCAGTGTGAATCCTCTTATGTTGAAAAAGGCTGGAGTGTTGGCTAAAGAATTTCCCACATTCACTGCACTCATATGGCTTTTCACCAGTGTGAATTCTCTGATGTTCCACAAGACTGAAGTGTCGGCTAAAAAATTTCCCACACTCACAGCACTCATAAGGTTTTCCTCGATTGTGAACTCCCTGGTGTTGCTTGAGGCTGGAGGCATCACTAAAGACTACTGCACATTTGCTGCACTCATAGGGCCTCTCTCCAGTGTAGACTGTCTGTTGATGAACAAGTGTGGATGTGGCACTGAAAGCATCCCTAGCAGTGGGATAATCTAATGCACCTTCAGAATTCTTGTGTGCCTCCTCCACACTGGGAGTGACCTGACTCTGCACAAAGCCTGATGTGGCCACAAAGTCCTCCCTGCCCTCCCCACACATGGAAGGCTTCTGTGATGAGTGGTCTGAGCAGATCTTTCCAGGAGAGGCCCTGCCCTCCTCCTTTCTGGCAGGCTTGTCTGCATTCTTCTGCACCTGCTGCTGGGGAAGGTTTCTGTTGAACTTGAACCCTGTCCTACTTGCCTCACACATGTAGGGCTTCTGCCTGGCACGTGTTGCTTGATGTTCAGCCAGGCATAAAATGTCTTTCAAGTGTGGGCCACATGTGTCATGGGGGTAGGTCTTCTGTGTGGACAGAGATGTCTTGGGATTCCCATCCTGGGATATTCCTTGTACAGAAACATTTTGCTCAGAAGGTAGCTCCTTGAGCTCTGTTCCACAGCAAAAATCTACAAGCAGAGAAATTCTGATCAAGTCATATAAACTTTGATAGAAGGAAATAGCCCCATTACATGTGCCTCTCTGACTCCAGAATAAGTCCTTAATAACCTTGGCAGGATGAGAGACCTCAGGTGAGAGCCAGGAATGGTTGGCTTTCTACACTACCATGCCTGGCCAGGCCACAAAACAAGAGAGGTCTGTACCACAGGATGGGGTACAATCTTGGGAAGAGGGTCAAGATCCCCAACTCACTTCTCTACAAAGAAGCCTAGGAGAGCATTGGCTTCTGGGAAACTATAAGGGCCACGAGGCAGGTAGGAATGGCCAAGCCCGGGAGAATCTGACTACAACTAATTGGATGATGTTTAAGGACATCAAGGAAACATGCTCTTCTCAGGATATATGATGTAGAGTCCAACAGTGCAGAATAATGCAGAGGTCACTGTGCAAAGACTGAGACACGGAGGCCGGAAAGGTGGGGCCAGCCAGAAGCCCACAGTCAGAGCAGAGATTCAAATGGGCAAGGTCTCAAGAATGGGGAAGGAAAGGTAAAGATGAAGAGTGGACATTAGCATTCAAACAAATAATGATAAATAGGAGAAAAGAAGCCGGTATGATTTGGACACAGTGATGATGTCACATCCGCCCCCAGCTCCCACTTACCAGAGCCAGGCCTGCCAAAAGCCCCTCTTGTCATGGCTGAAGTCATAGCCACTCTGTCAGGCACCCAGGGTTCTTTCCCCACCTCGAGTTGGGCAATGACATGGCACCTGAAAGAGGTGAGCCCTGAGGGAAAGATGGGCAGGTCATCTGCCAGCACATGCCCAGGGAAAGTAACCCAGAACAGACCACAGGAAAGAAAACTCAGTATTACACACTGTACATACAAGCAAGGTCTGACAAGCATATCCCAGTGATTGGCAGGCAGTGACCAAATCAGTCTCGAATTCTGCAGTCTTGCATAGGACATGTTAGCAAAGGAAGGAGCAGAAACTAAACCACAGAGATGTCAGAGACCTGGACAGTCACCCAGGTGAGGAGTGACAGATAGGATGAGCTCTATGGGGCTGACCTTAAAAGGCTCCTTCTGCTTGGTCCTTTCCTGCAAAGCTTTGACAAACAGGTGTGGGGTTGCTCAGGGAGAGGTGGAGGCACCGCTTGCAGGGCTACCTTGGAATCCAGTGGAACTCACAACATGCACATTATGAAGGGAGGGGAGGAAGCAGCATTGGCGGGGTTGGCATTGGAAGGGAAGAGCTCTCTAGTACAAAGGGGACAGGCAGAGAAGAGCTCAGGATGCTTGGACAAGTGTGAGGGCCTTACCCAGAGAGGCTATGAGTGCAAAGTTCTCCAGCATCACATCGCAGTACAGGAGTCTCTGTGCCTCGCTGAGCAGGCCCCACTCCTCCTGGGAGAAGTAAATGGTCACGTCTTCAAAGGTCACACAGCCCTGCCATGATGGGGACAGTTCATTTCTTGATCAGCCTCTCTCCTCAGGCCTCCCTTTATTCTCTATTCACCCTCCTCCTTCACCTTTCCTCTCAGCTCCAAGGAGACATCAGGCCCTGGTTACATTAATCTTGTCTCTTTTTTTAATGCCTCACATGACCACCTTGTGAGCCCAAAGCAGCAACAGGCAAGAGAGAGTGTCACCCTCTAAGGTCTGGGCCTGAAGTGTGGGGCCCGACCCCTCTTTGCTGGCCCATTTTCCTAATGTTTCAATGTTCTGCTCCTCAGACACAAACCAACAAGGTCTCAGTCTTCTCTCCCAGTCCACAATCCTAAGGGTATATTGTCTCTAATGCCCAAATTAAGACTGCATCTGCCTTTTCCTACTTATATCCCAGAGGAGGTCGCTTGGGCTCTGGCCTGTGGTTACACTTGGGTGGTTCAATTAGCAAATCTTCTTCATCTCTCCTAGTCAGTGCAATAGAAAATTATGAATGAATTACATGATTCTTGCCATTTAAGTCAAAACTGACTATACCAAGCATGCAAACAGATATTTAGAGGCAAAGGGCTTCAAATATCACAACCTTAGCTGTATGAGTCCTTAACATTCCCCAATTCCCTCCCTGGGTGGCTCCAACACAAAGATATGGACAATGCCCAGCTGAGGACTGGAAAATAGATTTTACCTAACTGCTTCTGGGCCAAGGGTTAAGATATCTAGTAGCTCTCACTGACTTATATGATTGATAGAAGCCTCTCCCACTAGGTCTGAAAAGGCTACAGAAGTGTTCAAAGCAGTTCTCCAAGAAATCATTCCTTGTTTCAGACTTTCCAAGTCCCTCCAAAAGGATAACAGCCCATCTTTCATTTCCTAGGTGATACAGTTGGGGGCTAAAGTCTTGGGATTTAAATTTTACCTTCATTCCTCTTGGAGACCTCAGTCTTCAGAAAAGGTAGAACAACCCAATCGAACATTAAGACTACATAAAAAAAAAGCTATGTCAAGAAACTCACCTCTCATGGAAGGTAATCTTACCTATAGCTCTACTGAGAATTCTCATAGGCCTTACTGCTGCACTGGGCCTTAGCCCACTTGAAGGACTACATGGTCTGCCTTTCTTGTATACAAACATCCTACCTGATGCAGAGGCTTCATGTTGGGCCAATTTGTGTCTACACTCAAAATTTTTCAACAGGCAACTAAGAGCCGTGGATTTTAAGTATTGTCACAGATATCCCAAGAGCCTCAGCAGCCCCTTTGTCAATAGCTAACTCCTCTCTGGAAGGGTACTTTTCTCTCTTCTATAGCCATCAAGGGATTTGATGCTGGACTCATCATTCCCATGCCAAGCCAGGGAGGAAAGAACCTCCACAGGACAAATCCCTTAAATATCTGTTTAAATGAGCATCAGATAAGTAAATGCCCCACCATCCCATCCTACATTCCAACAGAAGGCTGTGTCCACCTTGGGTATTACTCTCTTAATCATGAACTTACTGTGATTACCTTTCTATTCCTGTATACTTCGAGGAGGTATGGGCCGACCTGCTGCTGTTTATAGTACGCCTTATAAAAAGAAAGTTGGTTACAGTAAGTTCAGCTGCCATCTTCCTTCTTTTTTTACTCTGGTCATTTTACTATGACATATCAGATGTGACCAGGACAACAATATTTTATCATTCGTTCTCGATGTTTTTTCTGTCCATAGTCTGCCAACTAAAGAAGACAATTACATTCTCCTTTCGGCTCAGCAGTATGCCCAGAATGTTGAAAGCAATGGCTGCTGGATTTGTGGATTGTTACCCAATTCCTGTACTTCTGGGTGCAGTGGACTTTAGAAACTAAGTCCAAGGCACCCCTGATATGTTCCCTACCCCCGGCCCGGGGGGGTTTTGGAGAGTGATGTGGACATGGCTTTCCCAATCCTCATAATGGAAATGACTGCTATTTTAAATTTTCTCTTTATATCTAGGCGTTGTATTTTAAGCTGTTTCCTTAACTTCATCTCTCCTTTACACCCCATCCCACTCAATCACATAAGACCCTCCACTCACTCCCTAGTTCTGAAATTCAGCAAAAGTGAAAGCCCCAAGTCTCTCAAGTGCCCTTTCTCAGCAGGAAATAGATAAAATAACATTGCCCTAAAAGATTTGAGAGTCCCAACTGGAGTAGGGGAATGTGAAGCAGGAAGTTAGACATGTGCAGGCCTGGAGGCAGGCTGATGGCAAGTACTTGAGAAAGGTACATGAGAAGCCAGGAACAGATAACAGTTCCCCCCTACGTTTCCTTTCTTTAATCATTAGCTACAGATAAATTCCAAACAAGGTTATGATCTCTATGGCTCGGAGAATATAACCTGCTCTGAGCTTGCTGATAAACCTCCAGGGCAGAGGGTTGAAGCCACCCACTCACCTGCACCAGGTCCCTCTGCGCTGAAGCAGCCATTGGGGCCTATGGACCCAGCAGGGCCTTCAGAACGGGCGACCGAGGTGGCTCCCGCGGACTCAGCCCACTACCCAACCTGCCGTCCCTGGCTGTGGGTCGCGCTCTGGGCTTCAGTCAAAAGCGCACCCCTGGACACCTGCAGACACCCCAGTTCCAGGGCTCAAGGCTGCTGGTGCGAGCCGCACCGCCCCTCCCGCGCGGCCCCCGGGAGCCCCAACCCGGGTCCCCAGCGGCCGCAGGGACTCAGCCCGGTTGCCGGGAACCACTGGCCGCAGCAGCGCTGGGAGCTCCGCCCCCGCCCCCGCCCCGGCCCGGAGGCCCAGAAACACGGCCTCTCCGCGAGCGAAGGCCGGCCCGCCGCACGCGCACAGCCGCACAGCCGCCGGCCTGCAGGGACTTGTGCCTTCGTACCGCCCCAGCCCGGATCTTAAAGGGGCCGTTCCCAGGCCGCCATGGCTGCCGCCAACTAACACCGCCCGGACCAGCACCCTGTTTCCCTCCGTGGGCACCAGCGACCCGTTCGCCTCTCACTCAGGGACCTAGATTCACGCTGAAACCCGCAGTTATAGCTAAAGCAGCACTAAGAGGGAAATTTTAACTATAAAGCTTACATTTTTAAAAAGGTCTCAGATCGGGCCGGGGATTTGGCTCAGTGGTGCTGCTCCTGCCTCGGAAGCGCAGGGTCCAGAGTTCAATCCCTGGTACCAAAAGAAAAAAAAAAAAA